CTGGACTATTAACATAGCCTTAAGGTTTTTGTACAGTGATGAAGTGAGTCTTTAAAAGGTGTTAATATGACTTCACATGACTTTATCATTTAGGTTTGTCACTGCAACCTGCTGAAGCTCTGTTGAGGTTTGGAACAAGTTAGTTTGTGATTAAATGTAAACATGCAGCAAGAGCACAACAAGAAGAAAGTAGTTTGAAATGAGAAGACTGATAAAGAAATATTAGATTAGATGTCACACAGTTTCCTTCTTTACTGGATGTGGGAAATGATAGAGATGTGTTTGTGAGTGTGTGTGAAGCATTTCTATTTCACTCTGTGAAATTAACATGACCTCTGCAAGGCATATGAAGTTGGAGAAAACATTAATAACAGCAAGAAAAAAACTTGAGTTTCACCAGATTTTTCTCAGTCTAGCGAGTATTGATAGTCGAAGCTTGTAGCAGCCAAGCACAGTACAGCCTGAATATAAAAACAAAATCATGAGGACATCACGGCACACTCCTGTTGAATGAATTGCGCTGTATGAATCCATTTCACTTGACCTGACAGTGGAAACAACTTTCTGAAATAGTTTCATGTTCATCCTCAAACACCGCACACAGGGTATATTTTAAGTTCAACCCAACAGAGCCAAAGTAAAAGTGGCTTTTTCCTTTAAAATGATTAAATTGATTCAGAAACTCCAAGAAAAACAAAACAGGCTGTCATCATAATTAAACTCAAGCGTTGCTGACCTTTAAGTTCCCCACTGCACCGAAATATTCAACAGATACAAGATACAGTATATCATATTTTTCTTTGACATTTAGAAAACTTGTGTGTGGTATAAATCATCCAAATGTCCATGTTTCATCTGAAACCTTCCTTTACTTTCAGCACTACATACTTAGTCATGAAGTCCCCTGCAGTCAGCACAAACAAGCTTAATGACTGTAACACACACATCAGCATTTAAATTCACTAAACAAACTGTTTAAAAAAAAAAAAAACAGAAACAAACAACTTTGAAGCCATTATCAACTTTCGCTGGCAAGACTACAAGTACAACCAGCAGATATTTAGCTACACATTTGAGTGTCCTGTTCCTTTAAGCCTTTTTTTGTGGGTTGATTTTATTGGAAGTCACATCTGTTCAACATGCAGCAGACTAAACACAATTTTACAGGCAATGAGGACAGTAAAAGCACACGGCAGGAAGGGGCTGCTCTTTTATCCACATCATCGAGAGGAATGCAGGAAAGTCCGGGTCAAACAACAGCATGCAAACATAAAATGTATCTATTTGATAAGGTGTTTGGATTTAGTTTTCCAATTATTTGTAGGATTTTATCAGCTTTTCCACATTTCTAAGAGTAGATCAAACCATTAAGATGACACTTTTTTATAATCTAAATCTGTATATTTTATATTCAAAGACGTTCAAATTACCATGTGTGATGTTTCTATAAGAAGCCCAGGATTTCCAATTCTAATCTATGCAGCACTGGATTATGCTTAAGCAGTGTTTCTCACCTACAGTATAAATAAGATCAGGACCTCCTGGGCCCGCAGCCCACACAGGGATTAGTCCTGGTTCCAGACTGAAGTGGCCTTTTGGATCAGATTAGCTCAGACATATTATGGAATAGGCTTAGTTTATGTGTCAACAGTGACATTTGGATGATTTGGTTAGTTAAACTGTGGGCCAACAAGCACCAACTAGTCACACCAGTCCTTATTGAGAGGAACAACATGGGGACTCATTTACAACTAATCCATTTTTGAGTCTATTTTGTGTAGAGAGTGAAAATGCATTAAGAAAGTCACTGCTGCACTTTAGACTGTATGCGTGTGTCTTTTTTCATGCCTTTATTTTTACAAGACAGTGGATAGAGAAGGAAATCTGGGAAAGGAGCTTCAGGTCCGGCCTGAACCCGGGCCCCCACTTAGAGGACTATAGCCTCCGCACATGGAGAGCGACCTAGCTGCTAGGCCATCAGCGCCCCTAGCAGCTAAGACTTTAATTATTGTAAAAACTGGGAGCCATATTCCCACTTCCATCAGTTGGATTAAATGCAACACTTTCCATCAGCCAGTAGATTTACATTAAAAAAAAAGCATATCGGGGTCGATAATACTGAAAATGCCGACAACAATAAAATATCACCAACTTATTTTTAGGATGTTTTCATGTCGCAGGAGTCGAGCTCTAACATGCTTTTATGTTAAGTAAATAAATAGGTACAGATGGGAAAATCATTTAGATAAATTGTAATAATGTACACTAGACATGAATTTTTGACATTGTTTTATAGGATTTGTTTAAAATTACATATACTTTTTTTCTCTGTCAAGAGTCTTTATTTCTTTCAGTTTCCAACACCTTTATTTCTTCACACTGTTTTATATCACATGTCCTAACCAGCCTTTTAGTGAGCAGACTTAACATCTGCTGCAACATATAGCCTGTGAATCTGCTGTTATCTCGAGAAACATCAATGTCAGAGTCACTCTGAATCAACTATCAAGCTGCTCCTCCACAACAACACAGAAAGCTGCGTTTCTTTCAATCATTTAGCCTAACAAGGCTGCATATAATTCCTACCTAGCTGGCTCACTGAGCTGAGCAGGGTTGTGAGTTTGGCTCATTACGCAGCATCAAAGAGCAGAGACAGTGTTTTATTATGATTCAGAATAACTTTGACATTGTGTTAACGGGAGCTAACAGGCAACATTTGGGTGCAGTTGTTGAGCGTGCTAGCTTTGAGGCACGGGGGGCATGAGAGGGTCTGAAAGGTGAGAGGGCGGTGACAACATTGTCATGACTGGTGGCAGAGTGAAAATAAAGTTGACCTTAAATAAGAGGCTCGCCTGAAAACCAGAATAACGCATTCAAAAAACAGTGTTTTGAGTGAATGGGGATTTTTCTTTATAATGAATTAAGTTTTTATTATTTCAATAATGGTTGTGCTAGAAGTTAGTTCTTTATTTCATAATGTCTTTTTTCTATTTACTTCTTCTCATAATGAGCTATTTGGGCCTCAATAAAAGAGATCAATGAATGATTAGTTTGAAGTCTGACATAAAACAAAGGATTGTCTGACCGTGAGAATTCTCTGAAAAGAGTTGTAAAGATGTAAGAAGCACACCTGTCAGCTTTTCTAACAACAGTGACTTTTATTTCTCTAGAATAGATCTCAAAGTGACCGCCAACTTTTTCACAACCAGCGACCCCATTACTCGTAACTGTAGTGCATTTGGCACCGAAAAGGCGACGGTACAAGACGGTACATGATTTTCGTCCTGAGTCAAGGAACTACCTTTCACATAATCCTTTGTGAATGTTACCATTTCTTCTTAAATGTAACTTTATAGTTGGGATAGTGTTCATACTGTTAATACGCGTCTTGTACTATGTTGTAGTTTGTGTTGTTGAATATATAAACTACATTCACTGCTGCATAAAAAGATTAGTAATACTTTTCATGTTAGCTAACTTCCAGGTAGCCTGCTATTCTAACTATCCGTTCGCTTTCGGTGCCCAGGGGCGAGAAACATTGCCATGGTAACAGCAAGCTCCTCCAATCAGAGACGTCGCTGTGACACTCTATGATCGTGGGTAGTGTAGTTCTTTTCCCAGATATCATGAATAAACCATGTTTTTCTCCAAACGAGGTTGATATCGTATGAACTTGTGTCTTCTACAGGAGCATAAACCATCGTTTACAAACAGGTAGCTCGTGGTCAGTCTACCTTGGATAGTTTTGACATTATGGCTAATAATCAGCTATGGAGAAAATGAATTGGATTTTTACTTTTGGAACCACACTACTGAGCGCTATTCATATGAACATTGAAGACTCATCAAAACTCTGTTTTACAAAGTAGATTTAAAAAAAAAAGGATTTGAAGAAGTCTGCATGTATTTTAAAGTTCAGCAGTATATTCAGTTGATCCTGTCCTGGGCTTAAAGCATTTGTTCGGTACAGAGGGCAACAGTGAAACAAACTGTGAAAACAAACTTTCATTTTTGTTCACAGTGCAGGTTAATCTGAGCTGAAAGGTGCACAGCAGATCAATCCCTCAGACATAACCCCAGGCCAGTGTGCGGTTGTACAACAGATCCACAGTAAATTGCTTTCTTGTTATGTTTTCTGCAGCCGCTGCCTTCCAGGCAAACCAACTTCTTTCCTGTGTCAGTTGGCGTTTTGAAGCAATCCATGTTTGCAGTTTCCTCCGGGCCTCAACAGTCACTGAGCAAAGAGGAGATGAATAACTGGGATACACATTGTGACCTGAATTCTCATTTAATTGCAAAGCATCTGTTTTTATGAAGAAAAAAAAAAAGCTTTTGACAGAGGAAAACACATTTTGAACTTGCTTTACATTTTTGCGTTTCATGTTAAATGAAATCAGAGCTGTGAACAAGAGCAAGCTGTTGATGTTTGAAGACTTTTGGTGAATCATTTGTGATTCTGCTTTAAATGCGACTTTGACTCCGAAGTCCAAGATTTTCATTTGTACCAGTCTTGATCATAATGTTCAAAAAGGCTGAATAAAGCATGTGAGGACTGGCAACACTTAGCTGATGAGAATCATTCAGGATTTATTCACGGCCCTCTCCCTGCCAGACTCTAACAAAAAATTGATTATTTTCCTTCTCCCTCTTTCATAAGCAATCCTGCTCAGATTGTTTGAATGAATACAAATCAGGCAATAAAACACAAAAATTCCAATATGTGGCAGCTATTTCCATGCTTTCAAATCCTGCCTCTGATTGTTGAACCACCCTCATGGGTCCCATCTTAACTCAGCATTTTGTTTTCTTATTTGAAGCACTTTAAAGTCACCTGTGGGACTCTCTGTTCCAGCCTCCTGCTCTTATTGTTTAATAAAATTCTCTTTATTTTCCTTACTTACACAACCGAGCGCTTGAAGCACTTGAAGCATTCAAACTGTTTCATAATAATGACTGTGAGTTTAATGTGATTTTAAACCTGTGTGTTTTTCTTTTAACAGATCTTCCTGCTGGCCTGTCCGCCATGTAAAACAGCAATGGTTGTATTTAGGTGAGTAGATTTAACCCTGCTGATTGAACAATTTATTTTGGTACTATAGATGTCATGGTTTATCTCGTCTTCCATTTAAACCTCCAACCTGTTAGAAACGCAAATCTTGAATTCAACCCAAAATGATTAGGCAGACGGTCCAAATTCAGCCCCTGATTTTATAGTCATATAAAAGCAATCACCACTTTAGTTGTTATTACATGCAGGCTTCTGGAGTGGTAATTGGGTTTCCACACTGCTTTTATGGTAATGACTTTGTCGGGTTTATAGTCTTCTGTCCTCTGGTCTGGACAGCTAATTATTCAGGAGAATATCCTTGTTTTTGCCAGAGGGAACAGAACATTAGATTCACTCAGAAATAAATATGGGTAGGGTCACTTTCTGGTGCCCAGGGGAGTCACGGTGAACAGCTGCACTGAGTGGTGACAGTTTTATCAAGGTACTGTAGCTGTGTCTCACCTGAAATGACCTTAAAGAAGTGATTTAATGTGACTTTGTCATATTTTGAAACCAAAATGCTTTTGAATAGGTTCAGAAAAGTAACATTTGCCTTGAGATCAGGATGTTCTCTCACAGTGTGTACTAGTTTATACAGTAATCTGTCACCTACCTGACATGTAACAGATGTATGTGTGATGTGTAATGATTCTCTTGATTTCTGTGCTGGTTCACAGCATTTCCTCTTTGTAAGCCTTTTTCAGACTTAATTTCCTCAAAAGCGCTGTAAATAAGCGCATCCATTATGACGGCTTCATACATTCATGTTGATACTGCAACAACACAATATTCTTCCAAATCTACATTGCCGTTTTTGCGCTACAAAAGCACAGCACAGTGGAGCTCCACATACACACACACACACACACAGTCAGACATGCACGCACACACAGCGCTGCGCTCCCCTCTTATTCTGCAGATTCCGCCCTGGTTTATTGGCAACACAAACGGGTTACCATGGTGACAGACAGTGTAATTTAATGCAGTCCCTCTTTAAACAGCTGCTTTATCAAAACAATTCAGCAGAGGAGCCTCTGCAGTGACTGTTTACAATACTACCTGTGTTTTAAATGAGGAAGTCAAGATCTTTAATCCCCTTTTCTATCATACCTATGAACAACCATGTTATTTTGGACGGTTCCACAACAGCACCGTAAACCAAATTCTGCCCTCATCACACCTTTTGTATTTATACTTCGTATCAGCATAACGTATTATTGGTGTCCCAAGATGACGTTTTACATTGTGATACGGTGCTGCAGAAGAAAAGAGGCACAGCGTGTATACACACAGTGGGAGCTTTACATACACACACACTCAGACATGCACACACAGAGCACTCCTCCTTCCTGTAGCCTCTGATGTTATAAATTGCCGCTGTCTACACCCCATTACGCCTTTATTACTACCTCCTAGAACAGATCAGGGGCAGGAACATCACGTCACCATTCAGCCCCTAATATAACAGGGGTGTCAGTATCAGGCCTTAAATTTGCAATATGTAAGCAATAATGGAATATTCATTGTTTAAAGGTTAAGTTTGGTTGAACTAGACTTTCAGGTTTTTTTTCTCAAGCTCCGTGATCATTTCTAAAAACATGACTGAATGTAGATATTTAAAGGAAGATGAAACAAACTTTACTGTAGTCTCCGTTTATACTAACTGTGTGTCCTTCACTCATTAATGCAACTACATCTTCAGTGCATCACTGAAATCATCAGCCTGTGTTGAAGAAACACGGTGCTGCTGGCGTCTCTTTTCAAGAGCAGAAAACCACTTCTGTTCCGAGACATAAGAAGCGTCCCTCGTCTAGGTTTCAGCTGCTTTTGTGAATTCTGCATGCAAAGCAGTTTGTGAGAAGCAAATATATAACGTCCTCCTGTCACAGCAGAACAAAATAATGCACTAATAAAGGGAGATGTATGTTATCAAGAGCAAAAGCCCAACTGACTATAACGCTCCAAAATAAATGAATATGTCTGACAGTAAATGTTGGGGACATGAAGAGAAATTCAAAAGTACCGACAGACAGTGTGAAACTTCTACTCTGAATGTTTTTTTTTTAATTTCTATTTTTAAATATTTTCAAAAACATGACATGAAAAGGAGTGAATATTTGTGGTTTCTCATGATCAAAAGATGTGTTTAAATTAAACTTGCATGAAGCAGAGTTGTCCCAAAAAGGATCGGAGGCCCTCGGAGTGACAGCCCGGCTCATTTGAACCGACACTCCTACAGCACTGCTTTTTTCACAGTGACCTTGGCTGTCACAACAGTTATTTTGGCCCATTTGACAAAACAAACAGTGGAAAGGGATGGATGTAGATCTTCACATGAGCTCCTCTATGCTTCTCTATGCTGTGGCTCTTCTCCAGAATAATTGCAGTTTAAAAAAAAGAAACGTTTCTCCAGATGAAAGCAGCTGAAGAACAAATACTGACTGAACACTGTATTATATAATGAACTGGAGATTCTATATAAAAGTATTGTCTTATTGATATGGGCTCATCATAGATGCAATGGTATCGGTCTGTATATTTGATCTGTGCTGAATATTTTTATTCCAGAATAGATTAACAGAAGAAAATACTATGGTTGATTTAGAAAGTTTGTTCAGCAGAGTGTGTGCACTCACAACATAGTTTAAATAAATTTCTCAGCACTGTCTGCAGCACATTTAGAAGAGCGTCAATCAATCTGTATTTGTATAGACAATTTACAAAAAGACTATTTCTAGATATGAAGGCAATTATTCTCATCATAGCGTCCTTTGGCGGACTCTGATGTTTCGGCCACTTTGTTCTTTTTACATCATGTCTTTCCTCAGACATTATTGTTAAACGTTTTACCTCTGAGGCTCTGGCGGATGTGACGGGAGTAATTTCTGTTTTGCTGATATTGTTTTCTTCCCTCTGTGTGTTTGCAGGCTGCAGGTTCATATGTTAAACGGAGCTTTACTGGCTTTAATGTTCCCTGTAGTCAACACCAGACTGGTAAGTAACAAGCAGTTGAGTCTTTGTTAAAGCCTTCATCTCAGGCTTCTTCTCTCTTGTTCTGTTTCTGTTGTACATTTATTACATTGCATTCCCTTAGCTGGATATGTATAGGATGACTACTTTTGTCATTTAATCTCTCTCTTGGTAAAGCTGTGACATTTATATGAATCTGCTGATCAGGAGTTTTCTACTAGACTCTGAATCTGAAGAATAACTTCCACCATGTAAAGGACAAAATGTTGGACCGAGGAGCAGAAAGTTTGCGCTTGACTGATGATGAGAATCTGCTGTTTTTGTGAAGGAAATCAGTTCAGCCTGCTTGAAAGACTCCCACTGACAGCTGCAGACGGAAACCAAATAGAGGAGATAATGCACTTACTTTAAATTCAATTTGCTTAAATGACATCAAGAAAGTGACAGTTTGAACTCGAACTGAACAAGTCTAACCAGAGGAAAGAGAGTTTTTCTGCCATAACTCTACTTCCCTGTTAGATAAAGAACCGGTTTTCTCCAACAAGGAGAGTATTGTATGGTCTCACAGCATAGTTTTAGTTTGTTGAAATAGTTTTCACAGCAGAAACACCAGCACTGTGAAGAGTGAATACTGAGAACAGTGAGAAGTTCAAATTTAAGTCAAATCAACTGAAATCAAGGTCAAAGTAACCAGGGCACCCGCAGGGTTCTTATGGTGTGGGCGAGATGGGCTGGGCTTTTAAAAACATGTTATTCTGTTAATTAAGAAATGTAATGCCAACAACACAGCCGTACCTGCAGAGTGTCACCTTTATTACAGACGTTCTGTTGGTTTTACAGCACTAGAAAGTTAGTGGCTGGATCAGATTAAACAAGTTACACAAGTTCATTGAAATTACTGATTGCATCACATTTTAAGAATTACAATCTTAAATATGAATCCAGTTCTACCATCAAGTTTGTGCTCCAGGTTCACAATAAAAACACTGCAGATGAACCTTCAGAACCTGCAAGACCACCGTTTGCCAGATCTTAAAACCAGCTTCAGCAGCAGAGCGTCGGGTCACCAGTTTTTGCAGCACAAATCGCTACCATTGGGATGTGGCTAGGTTAACAGAGAGCACCTGCTGTGAAAACAGCACCATTCTGAAACAAGAGGCTAACATTAATTCTTTTTAGTGGCAAGGGTGTTTTTTTTTTTTTTTACTTCTGATATCGGACTCACTCCAAGCTGTCAAAAGTGTAAAAAAAAATGCTACTATTACTGTTTAAGCATCAAAGTCAAACATAATGGAGTTGTTATAGGGGGGGCGGCTGTCTTTGAACCAGAAGTTTTGGGCTTCGATCCCCAGCTCCTGCAGCAACTTGCCCGATGTGTCCTTGGGCAAGACACTCAACACCGAATCGCTCCCGCTGCTTTGTCGGCGGCGTATGAATGGGATTAGTAACTTCTGATGGTCACTTTACTTAGCAACCTCTGCTGTCAGTATGTGAATGGGAAGGATAGGATAGGATAATACTTTATTGATCCCCTGGGTATACTATTAAAATCTCATAAATCTTAGAATCATTATCTCTGTCCTGATAGGTATGGATCACATTTTACATACTGGTAACATTACTGGTAACTTCACCTAGCTGACTCCTATCGCTCCTTTATGGAGCATAGGCCGTTGACCAAGGACTGCAGGGGTTTTCTGTTAGTCTGCTCCGTCAGACTCAAGGTCCCTGCACCAGGTGTTCTTAGGCCCCGCCTCTCCTTCACGTGCCTCGAAGGTTCCCACGACACCTAGGCATACAGGTTTCTATCTTATAATAGAAACAATAAAACATCTAAATAATCTCCCGGGGGGTCTAATCAAATGAAATCTTTGTTTGGATCTGTCTGTGTGGTATAAAGAGCTGAATCAGTTTATTCTCTCCACAGCTTCCGTTCGAGAAGGAGGTCTACTACATTCAGCACTCCATGCTGTACCTGGTGCCTCTTTACCTTTTCAGGAAAGGAGGTAGGTGTTGATGTTCAGTCATTACAAACTTCTCTCCTTTCTCATCAACACCCACAGTGAAATACCTGTCACAAGCCAACCACACAGACTTAGAATGTCAGGTTGTTTGTAATGCTGGATGGACTCCTGTTTGGTCAGTGACGTCTGAGCTGCTGCAGTATCTTCTTTGTCTGCTCAGATCAGGTGGCTCTTTGTGCTGACGTCAGCTGCTCAGGATCTGTCTGTGCTCAACAATAGCCTGTTGCTGCTGGTTAAATACTACCTGCATTCTTTCTCGCTGTCTGTTATAAAGATTTATGAACAACTGAAGAGGAAAAGTAAAGATTCTCAATCCTATAAGTCTTTCAACAGTTAGGGAAAACTCTGAATATCAGTGCAAAATCTCACCGCTCCCTAGATTATAACTCCTATAGGAGACAGTGCAAAGGTTTGACTCCTTAAGTTAACTTTAAATGTAACCCACAGCACTCAAACTTGCAACACGTCCCTTAAAGAACAAAGTTCAGCTGCATAAACCAGATCCTTACAGCTAAGAGATGCTCTTAGAGTCACTTGGGGGCAAACGCTAGATGGCAAAGAATGAACCGGGCAGCTTCTAGATGTAAATGTGTGGAAAAGTGTTGACTTTACGCGTCTTGTTTTTATGAATTATTTCATTAAAAGGGGCAGCTGTGGCTCAGTTGGTAGGAAGGTTGGGGGTTTGATCCCCAGCTCCTGCAGCAACATGTCCAATGTGTCCTTTGGCAAGACACTTGCCAATTTCTGCCGCCGCTTCGTCGGCCATCAGTGTGTGAATGTGTAGGTGTGAAGTGCGTTGTCAAATCGCTTTGAGTAGTCAGAAGACCAGAAAAGCGCTATACAAGCTTAAGTCCATTTACTATTTCAGTCATTGAATGTTCTGTCTGTAACTTTTCAGTTTTGCTGCTGTTTTCTTTGACAGGTCTGTCTTTTGAGGCAATAATTAAATAACATGTCTAAATAAATATTATAGGAAATAATCAAAGTTTGAAATACCCTGAATAAACAAGACAAAGTGAAAACACAGTTAAGATACACTAACTGATTACATTTGGTTTGGAGCTTTTTAAAGAAGTATATTTCATTCTAAGTTCTGCAAATGTCACGTATGTAGATAAATTAAGGGTGTAGCACAGTAGTCAAACCTCTGCCTGCTGCCTGCATCACTGTTCACAAGTCATCTAACACTGCAGCCACACAAAAAGACATTCATTGTTGAGCCAGCATAACGGCTGCTCATTAAATACTTTCCCCTGGTATTACTGTAACTCATGCCAGCCGTGAGAAAACAGGAAAAGCCAGTTTGACACCACACCCTTTCAAAAGGTTTACTGTGGTTTGAGTGCGGTCTTCTGATAATTGAACACACAAACAGGGAAGTGAAGGAGGATGGTGTGTGAGCTGGCACAGAAGATGTATTCTTTGTTCCTGGTCTCTCTTTAACCCACAGACTGCTTCAGGTGATTAAAGAGTGTTCCTCTCTGCAGGTGTGTACAAGCCGGAGCCTCTGGGGGACATGGGGTGGGCGCTGCTCTCCACCGGCATCCTGTTCCTCTACCACTTTGTCTTCTTGCAGCTACTCGGCCTGGTGAGACAGAGCCCCCTGCTGGGCGTTGAAGATATCTCACTGTACAAAGAACATACTACACATTGTCAGCACAATGATGATTGAATAGATAATACTTTAAAATGTGTTTTAAACATTATCTGAGAGCTGTATGGATATGGAAACAGATTCTAGCATGGATTAAGCTGTACTTCATTACACACCCTTCTGACAATACAAAAAGAGATAAGCTTTAGTCAAGAGAATGAGTACATGTTGGTAATGCATAGATACATGCATACAGACATATTTACACCCATATATGCAGATATACAGATGTATACTTCTGTTTACATAAAATGTGACGTAGTTTAAGTCTGGAATGGATCCACTAAAGAAATACACATTGTGTAAAGTTAAAATAATCAAAAAGAAGTTACAATTGTAAGTGCAAATGCTATAATTTTGTCCAGTCACTGTGCAAATATACAAATCAGAGGCGGCAGCAGGAGTGAGTCATGCAGAGGTGAATAGCAATTAGAGTTAGAAAACAGCTTCAATTTCAAAGACAGTTTCTTGGAAAATGAAGCTGTAGTGGCTGAGGCAAGAATACATTTCAATCTGTTTTAAATCTGAACTATCATGAGTAAACTGTTAGAGAGAGAGAGAGAAGAAACTGTTACCAGCAGTGGTCACTTTGGCCATCACTGGCCCCAAAGAACCTCAGTGGATCAAATATCTGAAAGAGATTATGAAAAATCAACATTATAAGCTCCACAGAGTCATTCTTTACTGCAGCCGTTCTGCATAGGATTACATCATGTTGGTAGGCTTAGTTTTAAAGCATCTGCAAATCTTAAACAATCCTAAAAACCCTCAAAACCAAGGTCTTTACAATAATAGGTGATAAAATCAAGTTTAGTTCATTAATAAATATGGATTGACAGAGTTCAAAAATAGTCAATTGAAGTGATGCTGATTATGTGTATTTAGCATTAGCTTATTATATTGCTGTTGCTATTAGTTTCACATAAAGCCTAACGGAACCTGTGTCTCTCCTCTAGCTGACTGAGGTCAACTTGAACAACATGTTGTGTCCGGCCGTGTCCGACCCTTTCTACGGTCCGTGGTACCGAGTGTGGGCGGCGGGCCACCAGACCCTCCTGACCCTCATGCACGGGAAGGTCCTCACACTCCTCTCACAGCACACGGGCTCCGTCTGCAGATCCGTGCTGGACACGCTCCGGTTGCGCAGCAAGAAAGTCGACTGAATATCCTGGAAGACGCACACAGACAGACCACGCCTTTTCATCCTGAATGCCTGCTCTCTCTTTTTCTTTTCTTTTTTTAGATCACCATTTTAAAGCATCTTTTTTTAAGATCACTTTAACTGAAATAAGTGAGCATTTCAGGATAAGTGAATCGATGTGTCATTTTCGTGTTGTCTTCGGCTTGCATGCACAAACACATTAGACATTTGAAGGCTGGTCGGTAGCAACATGGTGAGGGAAAGATTTTTTCTTTTTGTAATTTTGGAAATACCATTACCTGAAAAATGTAAGTGAATTTGGGGAGATTTCTTAAGATGCCTTTTTGTAAATGTAAAATTCAAGGACAAATGGAAGTCACCCAGATGTCGCTACAGATGTGCTGTTGTTACACTTTCAGTTCTTTATGTGGTAGTGTTACGCTTCTTCATATGTTATAGAGGGTAACGCTGCCAGTTTCTGTCTCAAGTGTGTCTTGAATGTGGGCTGAGAGCGTTTTGGTTTCACACGTTTGACTGCCTACTTAATGTTGACTGAAAAGAGAAACTTATTTATGGCGTCCTTCTGTTCCCAGCTTTTGCTACATTATGCACAGTTACCTCTTTTTTCATTTCTGTCACCAGCCCACTCAGATCATTCCAGGTGCGATAATCAGGGGACACGAGGATGATTTACATGCTGAGATTGAAAGAGATGATTAAGGATGTACACTGGGATGTTGTTGTAACCTCTAAAATGAGGTTCTGTTTATGTTGGGTTTTTTTTTTTTATTGTGACATCAGACCATAATCACGTAGTACACACTTGTAAGCACCGTCAATATGAATGTGATGGTCGATATGAAACATTAAATGTCTGAGCTGGAAAACAGAAATCACAAAACTTGAAATAGTTCCCTGATCCTCACATTAATCCTGAATTCACTCCACCACAGCAACTGTGACCAGTCATCGTCTCAGTTTTGTATAAAAAATAAATAAACAGAAAAAAAACATGCATCAGATGATCTGCATGAAGTCACTTTTGGTCATTTAATGACTACCCAATGGAAAGAAAGTATTAGCTAGCATTGGTAATTAGAATACTGTATTTCAGCCAGGGTATATATCATTTCGTGTGTGTGTGTGTGTGTGTGTGTGTGTGTGTGTGTGTGTGTGTGTGTGTGTGTGTGTGTGTGTGTGTGTGTGTGTGTGTGTGTGTGTGTGTGTGTGTGTGTGTGTGTGTGTGTGTGTGTGTGTGTGTGTGTGTGTGTGTGTGTGTGTGTGTGTGTGTGTGTGTGTGTGTGTGTGTGTGTGTGTGTGTGTGTGTGTGTGTGTGTGTGTGTGTGTGTGTGTGTGTGTGTGTGTGTGTGTGTGTGTGTGTGTGTGTGTGTGTGTGTGTGTGTGTGTGTGTGTGTGTGTGTGTGTGTGTGTGTGTTAATGTAGCATATACTGTATGTCACTGTTAAGAAGGGAAGAGACACACTTTTGTATTTCTCTGGGTTCAAGTGTATGTGCTGTATTGACAATAAAAGTGATTTCAGTTGAATGAAGTTCTTCAAATTCTTATTTTTCTGCACTACAATGGGAGTTTCACCACACATTTAATAAATCTTAAAAAGATTAATATTCTAAAATATGAATATTGGATTTGGCCATTGTGAAAGAGCTGAAATACTTGTATTATTTATGCACCCCCAGTCTTCAGAAAGGAAAGTGGACTCTTGGCCTTATAAGGACTAAAAGACAGAAAATTAAGTTATTAAATGTTTTTTTGGTGAAATTCATTTTTTTACAGGTAAGATTGGAAGATGATTAGCGCTACAGTCGGCTAACTGACTAACAGCTGGTGAAAACAGATAGCCAAGCTCTGTGTGAAGGTTACAACATCTACCAGCTACTCTCCCAAACTCATGAAGCTACATGTAATATTTCATTGATCAAATCTATCTTAATGTGGTTTTGTTGGGGCTATGGGTAGCACTATATGTAACATGGGTGCAGTGATTTTTTTTTTGGTACAGGTTTAACATAAACGATGAAGCATGGTGAAAGGTAGTCTTGTGAGGTTTTACTTGGTGGATCGTTTACTTTGGGACAGAGCCTGGTTAGCCGTCTGCAGTCTTCATGAAATACTAAGCTAATAATCTTCTGTCTTAAGTGAGGTCATCTACATGCTCCAAGGCTCGTCTTTTCACTGTGAGACATTGGTAAGGGCCATCTTGGAAGTTGAAATAAAAAGAGATGTGGAAGTTTCAGATAAAGATTAGGTGTAGAAATATATTCTAACAAAGTAGCGATATAAAAAAAAAACAGTGTTGCCTGTAAATTTGAAGGCATAGTTTTCAATGAGTTTATATCAGTAAGAAGTTGGAGGGTCCTTTCAACATATTGACAGTTAATTATATATGTAATACTAAATGTAGGAGAAATCATTGCTTCTTTGGGAGCGGTGGTACTCTTCCACTTTAGCTTCAAACAAACAAGGATGGCATAAATCTTCTAATCTAAGCCCCAACAAGAAAGCTAATCAACATATATGATGTAAAATCAAACTTTTCCATGAGTTGAAGGTCCTTTAAGCACACTTTAACACTAAAGTGAAGCCAAGTCGCTTCCTGACTCATAAAATCTCAGGTCTCTGCACAATGTGTTTGGGTTCAGTGCCTTCTGGAAGGCCAGACAGGGTAAAAAGCTTTAAGTGCAGCGTATCGACTGAAGAGAGCTGCAGAGAGTTTTCGCAGGCCTGCAGCACTTTATCACCATGGACAGTCGAGAGAGGAGGATCTAAAAACCAACCACAGCGTCTGCAAAGAGGCCTCAAGGTGACTGTAAATTAAGAGGAAACAAATGTTGAAATATGCTTCTCTTCTCTTCAAATGCTTGTGGTTGCAGCAAAAAAAAAAAAAAAGGGTTCTTTATAAGTGGCAAAAAAAGCAACTCAGAATCATCACAGCCAGAGGAAATGAAGAGTTTAGAAACAGTCAGTAATGGATTTGATACGGTTGACAAAACAGACAACATAAATCCCTGCTTAAATAAAATAAAGTGAATGAAAATAAAGTGAATGGGTGTTTCTCCTCCTTAAACATCAGTTTAAGTCTGTTCAGCCATCATTATGTCTCAGTCAGACAGATGGTGCTGCTCGGATTTGATCTCAGACAAGCTCTGAGTTCATACACACACTCGCTCTCTCTTAGCACTTAGCCCTCGATATCATATAACAAGAAAAGTATTTTCAAATACACCTGCCCAGACTTCTCCTCCTCCTAGTATGTTTTATTGGTGGAGGATCTGGCAGAGCTGCAGGACAAGCATTTGTGCTTCCATCTTCACATAACAGAGGCAGCTCTTGGCAATTGGAGCAGCTCGAAAAAAAGTCAGAAATCACTGGTTGCAAACTGATTTTTGAAATTTAAAAAGCAAAAAAATTATAATAAAAGTTTAATGTGAGGTTTGGCCCCCAAGTGGGACACAGCACAAAGTAAATGTGCTTTACAACAAGTTTGGGGATGGGAGTCAAATCCATCCCATCCACCTATTTGGACCAAATGGTTGTGAAAGAAAATGTTGCCTCTTGGCTGCTTATGTGGAAAGCTGCTTTTGGCAAAAACACGAACAAAAAAGTTTAATACAAACACTTGCAGTGTGCAGTACTATTTTACACAGATGCTTAATAAATTAAGCATTTGCTGTGGACATACAGCTGTTTTCATTTTAAATGCTTTGAGCAGCACAAAGTAACATTGTGCCGACATACATGTCCTTACCAGTTTGGAAGTTGTCATGAAAATGTGGAATAATATAACTCTGCCATCACATGGAAACCTCATTTCTCTTTCAGTGAACAAAGAGCTCCCTTGTTTGGGTTATGCCGCAGGTTTATGAAAGGACATTTTAAAGGAGGGTTAGGGTTGAGTGTTCAATACCGTCTTTATTAGTTAGTGGAGCCAAAAAATCCTCATGTAGCCCTCAGCAAAAGTGGTGTGTGACCGATTCACCTTATTTAATATATTTATAAAAGTACTGGAACATCAATGAAGACTATCAGATGTTGCCAACAGGACTGTGATGTCATTTATTTTAAAGGGCCAGTTCATAAAATGTATTTAACTACCTTGGTATAAAGATGGTTTGTTGTTTGAGAAATAACAAACCATTTCAGATTTCAGCCAATGGAAAGAGAATGACGTTTATATACAGTGACCAGCTAAAGTGTCTGCCCGCGACCTCTACGATCTCCATGCCCGTAATTAAACGTCTGCATTATGTTTTCTGTTTGTCAGTATGTTGTTCTCCACTCTTTTGTGAATGTTGTCATTCCATTGGATTACACATAGCATTGATATAAAGACAAATAATCTCATTATAACGTTGTGTAGCGGACTCTGTTGCTTCGGTCGCTACTTCCGCGTTGTTTATTTAAGTCACGTTTTACGTCGAGAAATCCACCGCGGCCCCTCCCCTCTGACAGGGAAAGTCTCCAGCTGTGAGGAGCATATGTGAACGGCTAATTCGGGAGAATCTCCGGAGTGTTCCTCCTGTAAATATCTAGACATTATCCGCATATGTGAAAATGGCTTAAATAGTTCCTAGCATTATAAAAAAAAAGCTGGTCAGAACATTATACAGGGTCAAACTTCTGTCATACAACATCCAGTTTAATTGAAACTGTCTGTCAAGCATGCAGCTGGCCATTGAGCCCTTAATAAGAACATTTATTGTAGGGGTGAAGACCAACAAGGTTACAAAATGTTTACTAAGAATATGATCTAGAGCAAACTGCACATTTTTCTACTACATGGACCTGAAGTCAAGCAGTGGATGTCATTTATCAATCAAACATATGAGGTGTTTTCGGACTGCAGGAACTTTTTCATACTTCTAGGAAACGTTGGAACCCTCCCCCTTTTTTATTGATTCTGCACCACAGGAACGATGAACTATTTTAGTTCCTAGAACCTCAATTAGAGGAACCTTTTTAGGTCCTGCTTAGTAGGTACTCTCCCAGCAACACGGTGGTGCGAATGCAGACAGAAAAAAGTCCCCATGGTGTGCAGTTCTCAGGAAACTCCCTAATGGATCATCCCTCTTCAAGAAGTCCCCAGAACTGTTTGGTCCGAATACACCTATAGAGCTCAACAGTGACCGCCCACTTTTTCGGTGCCTCTGATTCCAGAAGTAAATTTCCCCATTCAAATCCTCCCTTGATTTTTCGCACAATCCTTTTATCAAGGAACCAACACAGACAGCTACCCCCAATACTTGTGATTATATTATATTTAATTTGGCACCAAAACGGCGTTAAAAAACTGGAAAAAAAGGCAAAAGTACAAGGCAAGGAACTACACATTCCACATCCATCGTGAATTATATCGTTTCGTCTTAAAAGTAATTTTGTCGTTGTTAGTGTGTATACTGTTAATCCAAGTGTTTTACTATCTTATAAATATAGACTACATTCTCTGCGGCATGACAAGGTTATTAGTACATTTCGTGTTAGCTAACTAACTTTCCTGCTAGCGAAACTTATCTGTTGGCATAAGGCGCCGATGTGTGGGACACATTGCTATGGTAACATCAAGCTCAATTAATCAGAGATACTCTATGGTCGTGGGTAGTGTAGTTCTTTGCCCCAATATTGTGAATAAATGTTTTTCTTAAACCAAGGTTGCTATACGAACTGTGTCTCATGCAGGAGCATATACCATCGTTCTACACTCGGGTAGGTCGTGGTCAGTCTACCTTGGCTGGTTATGACATTATGGCTAATCATCAAATCCACTAATGGAGAAAATGAATGGGATTTTTACTTCTGGAACCACACTGTTGAGCCCTGTGGACTTGGTGTACGAGTCCTCTGGATCTGACTCTGTTGTGTAAAGTGTGGAAATAAATCAAAGACATCAATGTAAACAAAATAACACTGTATGTGTGGGTGTTTAGAAAGAAAATCGCATGACACATGTTTTCTTTTCAGTCGATTTTGTATTTTTTTTTTATTGAATAAATGACTTT